AGAGAGAGAGAGAGAGAGAGAGAGACATCAATATATTGTTGTCAGTTGAATGTTAAAATAAATATCTTGAGTGGATTCAGATCTCTCCTCACTAGATATTTGAGAAATTATCGTAAAGAAATAATTGAAATTATTTTCCTCTAGCATGCATTATAGTAAAAATGTGAGATTTTGATGATAAAATAAATAATTTATTATTTATAGTAAAACAGAAAATTACAGATGCTACATAGTGCTTACTATTCTATTATATATATTTTTCTTTGAGCCACTATGTATTGGAACTTTCACTCAACTCTTGAGCTTTCGTTTAACTCCTTAAAATTTCGATTTTTTTTATTGTACGTAACCATTACGAAATTTTGTCTTTGTAAATCAGAGATTATTGATCAATAGATAAATTAATAAATTCTATATATGTAATTAATAATAATAATTGTATATATGTAGACTTATAGAATTATATATATATATAACCTGTACGTGTTTACATGATCCTTTTATCATCGTTAACTATTTATTAGTATACTTACAATAGCTATTTCGATAACAATAGCTTCCACGTCTCATATGGCGTGTAAAAATATTTTACGGTAACAAGATACTTAATTCTTTACATGTACAGTCTATTTTACATTTTCTCTTGAGATTTTTCTTTTAGATGTATCCATTTCTAAATCTCTTCAATCAAAACATGTATTTTCTTCTTCTGTCGTTAAAAATCGCCACCACCTTAACTTAAATCTATGGCAGTAAGCTACATATCGGCATTAGTAATGTAAGGCCCATTCATTATCCTGCAAGAAAGTATCAACTACTTCTTTCATCGCCAAGTTTGGGATTAGCTGATCTTGCGTCAAACGTACTCGCGTGACCGGATCGAAGTGGCCAACTCGTTGGAGATGTTCTTCGATGTCCTTCCGTTCGTATGTAATTCCACTAGGCGTAATTACTGGTTCCTGCAGGATTTCGAAGCTAATCTTGCCGCACAAGTAATCCGGTACTTCTCTTTTCTACAAAAAATTTATTTGTATTATAATATAGGATTTGTTAGTGAAATAGAAAAAAATTTTCCGATTTTTCTCTGATTAAAGCCTGAAAAAAACATGAATAAAAACAAAGAAGAAATATAATTTCTTATTAATTAGACATGAAAAGTACAATAAAAAATTATAATAGAAAATGACAAAATAAAATTAAACTTTTATTATATTTTTTAAAACATTTTTAACATAAAAAAACTTCAATCTTACACTTTCAAGAGGTGTATTAATTCTTTTTATCTGTTTCTGCATTTCTTCTTGAATTCTTGTCAGATATAATCTTGAGTTTCTTGATTTTTAAATTATTTAATTCATTTCATCGAATCTGTTTTGCATATTAATTACTCTTATTAATAATAACTTTTCTCACTAAAATATTATGTTCTAATTACCATTTTGATTAGCAATTTTTTATCTTAATGGTAGATAATTTTGAAGCATTTCTCGCAGTAAATTCTTTAAAAAATGCATGATTACTGAACTATTGTAAATATTTTGTATAACTTTTTTTATAATTACTGTGAGTGATTTGCGAAACGTCATTAATAAATATCTTGATTTTTAAAGGTTTTCAAGACATTATAGTTTCTAAATAAAGATAAAACTTATAATGGCTCAATAATAATAACAAAAATGAATAACAGAAGGACTAAGAGCTAAATTTTTCGTATATTTAAATTCTTAAAAACACATATGTTTCAACTTATTTGTCAGATCATCCTCAGTATGGGAAGGAACAGTCCGTCAGCAAAAAACTGGCGGACTCCTGAAGGAGTTCCGCCTGGTATAATGCATGCTGTCACGGTGGAAGAAAGTTGGAACAACCGGCCGTCTCAACTCGGCTCTTTAACATTAATAGGACAGAATGAAGTGGATGGGTGTCTCCTACTTCGCTCGTCGGGTGATTGTCGTCACTCGACAGCAGGGAATGGCAAAGTTTTTGGCGAGATAGGGCCAATCCGAGGTCGACGGGTCTCAGGGGTCTCCGGAAGTATGCTGCACGCGTTGCCGGAGATCTCCGGTCAGGACTAGAGTAGGACACCCGGAGGGATTTAGTGGATGCAAACCTCACAAAACCTCGGGCTCTCTCCCGAGGTCCGGGATATGCGTTAGGCATTTTTCCTCCGACATAAAAAAAAGGTCATCTGTGTGTGTGTGTGTGTGTGTGTGTGTGTGTGT